CAGGAAGAACCCACAACCCTGCTCACCCACAATTCAGCACAACACACAAATAGCTTTGAGACTCCTCGTCTCGAGACTCCAACCTGTTTTAGAGAGGGGGACCTTATTCCCTCTGGCCAATCTAGCATTCGGGGGTCCTGAATTCCCCGGGTCTCCCACCCAGCTTTTCTACCGCTCGTCAGCAAATAGTGGGGTTGCCACACCAAAGACAATGCGGGGGTCTCGTACCCTCCGCTCCTTAAAATTCTATTTCCCTGCGGGGTTCCCGTCCCCTCTGCTCCTTAAGGTTCTATTTCTCTGCGCACAATACCTGGACACAATTCATACACAATCCATAGATATACCCAATATACTGTATAAACACAGTGCGTGCAACCTCTCCTCTGTCTTAAGTTACCGACGGGCCCCTGGACACTTCAAACTGCTCAATTTGACATATCCAATGTGCAGATTTTGATGTAACAGGCTCTGCTTACCTCTTCTAGTCGGCGCCTCGCAGTTCTCTGTGTCCAAGTAGGCCGCGTCACCACTTAGCCGAATCTTGCGAATCTCCTGGGGATCCCGGACGAGCCCCCAAATTGTTGGAGCACGGCGTCTCCACCGGGTCCGTGGATGAGAAGAGATTCACAGCTGACACGGGGAGAAGTTGCAAATCACCGGTTTATTCTCTTGACTGATTATAATCAGGGAGCGGCCGTCTGACATACATTCAGCATGTACAGGAGGAGGCTCTGCCATATGTATCAGCTGTATCCCTTTTAAAGCCCTTTGGGCATCTCCCCCCCCTTTCTCAGTACCTTCCGTCTACGTGACAATCACATGTGTGACTCTAGCCGGCTCGTAGTTGTCCTTCTGGAAGGCTAAAAGATAAGTAGGGGCCGCTGATATTCTCTGTCGCCCCCCCTATCTGTTCCGATTAGGTAGCCTTGCCTTGCCGGCGCGCAAGTCAGTTCTTGTTTTGATTAGTTACAGCCTTATAGAGTCATTCCCTATATTTCCCCTTATTAAATTATTCCCTCAGTTGCTAACAGCATTTCGTGATAGAATTGAAGGGAAGAATGGAAATTAATTTCCTGCCAGGTTAGCCGTCATAAAGACAAATATCTTTTTTGTTTAGGTATTTCAGATCACTGTACCAGAACATTGTCTTCATTGTGGAGAAAAATAAATTATTTTATAAGTATAAGGAATCGTCTACATGTCACAGTTTATAACTTTTATTTGGGTTAAATGCAGCCTTCGTGAAGTGAAACAGTGATAAAGGTCTTCTAAATGTGCAAGCGAAATTTAATATTTCTGTTGCATAATTAGATTGACGGAACTACATCTTTTCCTCCTTCGAATCGAAGAAAAGGGCGGTGCGCGCTCCCGACAGGGGGTGCATTTAACGGCAGGGGTGCAGAATTCGGCACAACACCTGTTCGGATTAAGTTCGAGAACCGAGGTACCACTGTACAAGTAAGGACAAACTTCTTTATTGTTAAGAGAACAAAACTGATTTTGAATGCGTTCTGAACCATTAACCCTTATTTGTTTGCATTGCTCTTTTGTAGTGATTGGTACTGCATTTCTGACCAGAATATTGCTATGAATGTGACATAAATTTTTTTATATAATGCCGACTTTCTTTGTAAAGGTGTTTGCCTTTTTTGTATGTTTGTATCAAGTTGTTGAAAAAACAACTTGACTTAGCTGCCCCCTGATGTTTCATGGGTTGATACTGACTGAAGTTAAATCCATTTAAATGCACGCAGGACTTAAATGCTAGTTTTTGTATAACATGGCTTTGCGAGTACTTCGTTAAATTGCTTTTAGAGAGAACCATAAATGATTATAATCATGACTATTACTTGATGCTTCGTGTCCGCAAAGATGTTATGTAAAATAAAGAAATACCGCTCCTTCGTTACTGTGTACGTGATCCCGCATTCGTTTTAGAGTGTCCCTAAGTTTGGCCTGTTTTAACTGGATCGATAAAAAGGTTTAACCCCTTTTTAAGCATAGCATTTTACTTGCTCCAAAATAGTAGTATTAAGTATGTCCTCACATAAAATATCACATGAAAAGAAATGTATGTTTCTGCTTTAGGGCAAACAGTCTTCTCTGAATATCAAAGCTTGAAATGTAGGTCTATGACGTTATACCACATCGTAAGTGTACGAATCATGAACTCTCTATCGGAAATTTCCAGAGCGAAAAGGCATCAAGGTCACGTTCTGTTTGATGAATGTTTGTTAAATAATTTTACGGGTTTTGGAACATAATCCAACAAAGTGCAATAGAAGCCCATTATGTAACACATCCACGGAAATGCCATAGACTGTAAAATGCATATAACAAAACATAGAAGAAAAACTTACACAGCATTTAAAAATGTATAACTATAATACAGTTACATATAGCGGCCTTTAAAGTATTTATTAATCACAGAAAATCATCTTAAAGGTAATTCTGTAGATGATGTCATTAATAATGCAGTTTGAACTTTCTTGCAAATCTTATTAAATATGTAAATACTGCATAAGCACGATTAAATAGTGTTCCAGTAGTGTACAGGTCATAACTGTGATTTTTATATAGATGTCATATATATTAATATTTTGTCTAGTAACCCTGCAGCTTAATGATAACAACAAGTAATCCGTGCTTGGTTTCACTATGAAGAATGTTCCTCATGAAACAGAAGCCAACTGGAAATCCCTGTGTTAAATGTTTCAGAGAACAAACTCACCGTTCATGTACTGTGAATAACAACCAGTATCAAGTCGCTGAAAGTGCTCTTTGGTAAGTTTGTATCAATGTGTTTAATAATAATAATAATAATAACACTCCTTCAATTGACATTATATGTTTCATTAAACTGCTTTAAAATATTGCAGTTCACAATGAAGCCTCATTTAAAAATAGAAGGTTCTTTGTTTAACCTTTTTTAAGACTTTTGTTTTACAAATGTGCAAATGGTGATATTTAATTAATCTGTGATGATATATGTAAGATTGATGAAATCATTTATTGTTTACCCCTTTTCAGAAAGAATGTCAGCAGAAAATGATTATTCATAT